ACGTTTGCTACCGAGGAAACTAAAACAAGATCTGTCCATTTGGCAACAATAAATAAATAAATAAATGAAATCAAATAAACAATTTCATGTTTTTCATTTGTGTCCATTATTTATCTCATTTTTACATTGCAACGGGCATGGGTAAGGTAACGTTACAGCTAGAAAGTATAACTTACATAATATCGACCAACTACTGTTTTTAAACCATGGAAAGAGGTCAATATAACAGCAGGAGAACAATTATGTCACATAACGTTACATTCAGCTCAGGAAAGCCATTTAATGACCATAGCATGTAAATTGAATAGAAAAAATAACAAGAGAGGAGATTTTGCTGATCACTATATCACACATTTATTATATTTTTTTACTTATGTCATTAAATAATTGTTATTATACGCGAATGTCCGCGTCTTGTACTCGCCCAGGAAATCTGTGTAAACCGTACGGCACCAGACAGGGGCAGTCGACCCGGGGTATTCACAATGTTTTCTCTTCAAAATTGAAATTTTACTGCCACCATTAAAACAATTTATAACGGAAACTGTTTACCCACTCGACATTATACAAGGGCTAACGTTGTAACGTTAGTGACAGTCGTAAATCGCGAGCTGTTTATTCCAGTGGACGCAAGTTGCAACTAAAACAATAGAAGGCAATGGCGCAACGCTACCCAGCAACAGCTCAGTAATGGCGCCCGCTTACTTCCGGTAGTTTCGCCGGATTCGTCTATATTTGGAAAGCTACGTGTAGTGTTGCCATGCCCACTCATTATAAGGGTTTTTGGGCTTGTTTTTCATGTTTGGCTCAAAAGCCATTAAGTTCATGGAGTTATTAAAGTGGGAAGGTATCAAGGTGGGAAGTCTCAATTTTCGTCATGTTTTTGATGGAAAGTATTTGGATTTTATTTCGGTCCTTTTTGTAGGCTAAATGCAAATTTTCCGTGAGTAAATTCGGATGTAGAACGCAGCTATCACTGCTGTAAATGACGGAAATGTGTAAAGAACAAGAATAAGCAGTGAATGGTATGTGGTTTGAGCCTTTAGATTGGGTTAGATTGCCTTGGATAAGCATTCACATTATCTTCATAAAATGCACGCTTTTTTTTTCTTTTATTATTTGTTTATGAGATTATTTAGATGACAAGCTACAAAAGCACTGATGTTCTCTTGGGCCAGTGCTCTCAATTTAATCTGACTGCCTGTATTACTTTGATAAACCTTTTTTTTATTCAAGCGTAATTTGATGTTAAAATTGACCCCAAGGAACAAATTCCTCGCGATGTGTGACACATTTCAATTTCCAATTATTTGCTCTGTGTTCATGGTTAGATGAACCATCTAATCAACGGTTCAGATATTCAGGTACTCCGTCTGTGACAGCACATGATTAGAATATAAGAGCATGAATTACTGTAATTCAGTCTGACATGCTCTTAAAATCACTTTCTAATAATTTGACATAGCAGGAGCTGTGCCCTTCAGAAGTAATTAGGGCTTGTGAAAAGAGGGGTCAGTGTATGAGGCCATTTTTCTCCTCACTATCAAGTCTGGACAGTAAAAATTAGCCTTTGATTCAGATCCACTGAATGATGATGCTCGTATTATTAATATTTTTTTTTTCGCTTCTGAGAGTGACCCAGCATTTCATAATATATTTACATGTTGAGTTCAAAAAATCACCTTGTATGTTACCACAATGCTGAGACAATTCTGCCCCCTTGTGATACTTGTTAAACGAAAGACCTCAAAGGAGCTGAATGACTCATTCACAGGAACTGCTACGAGTTTGACTACAAATCACATTGCCATCCTTTAAAAAGATCTGATTGTAGACCTACCTGACAGTTTTTAATATTAGTTCTGCTATTTTCTGTTTTTTATTACCTCTTCTAATTCCCTGAAAATATGTTGTTGTTCTTCTGCCTCTTCAAACAATATGCTTGAAAATATTTGAATGATCCTATTCGGTTAAGCAGACCCTAGAGGTTTCGCTGCAGAATAAGTGAGCATGGAATATTATGAACAGATATTAATACCTCTGGGAGACACATAAAAAAGGCACGTCATAATAAACAAAACCGTTTGCAATAAAATGATGATTAAAAAGGCATATTAGCATGTGACAGACATAATATTCTTCCTCATCTACAGTTAATCTGCCATCATTGGTGAGTGGCTTGTCACTTGTGACACATATTAGATCCATTGTCAGTCCATGCTAAAACATTAGTCCAGTAGATCCGGAAACACAGTGCATCTCTTTTAGATAGGAAGTTTGTTTTGGGTGGAACAGTAAAAAAAAATTACATGCAGAACAGAAAAATTATTTTTAGGCCTTCCAGGTGTAACATTAAGCATTGTATTGGTCGCATAGCTGTCTGTGTTTCATTAGCCTCAGGGCATTAACAAGAAAAAAATATTTGTTCTTCTCATGGTGAGAAGCTGATATTCAGCAACTTTCACAGCAAACAGTCTGGCGTGTCATGCAAAAACAGGCTAATATGTACAGAAATGCAATGCATCTCTTTTAGATGGGACTTTTGTTCTGGATGGAACAGTAAAAAAATGACATAAGGAAGATACAGTATAATGTCTTTTTTAGACCTCTCAGGTGTAACATTGAGCCCATATTGGTTGCATAGCTGTCCATGTTTCATTAGGCTCAGGGCATTAACATGAAAAAAATATATTTGTTCTTCCCGATATAGGTGGTGAAGAGCCAAAAACTTTTACAAGGAGCACTTAAAACTCTGACCACACCAGATATTTTGAAATGTTAATTGTGGGAAACTTATCAAAATGGTTATTTGCGGCTACTCAAAAGGATAGTTGACACACACATACACACACACACACACACACACACACACACACGCAAAGTTTGTTACAGAAAGCATTACAGTATGATAAAACATTAGGCTACATTCATTGATATTGTAGTCTAATTGGTTCACGCTCCACGCTAATTGGTGACAATGAATCTCGTTATCTTGAAACTTTCAATTTACTGCAAACATGGAAGATTGTTTGTCTGTTTCCATACAACTATGCATTAAGAGTACTGCAAGTTACTTATCATTTTGAGCTGTTGTATCAATTTATTATTGTAAGTGAACAGACACTCATGTGACGTGTGAATTGCCGTTCTAGTACCTTGATGTTAAGTTGTTTTTGAACAGGTGATTTTTGTTGAACAAATGATCTAAGTTTTATGTGTATTGTATGGTTCAGATTACACGATTTTTTTTGTCTGTTATGACAGTAACAGACAATTTTTTAGTCTTTCCCACCCAGCAAAAACTCGTTGAAAAGACGTTGAAAAGACGACATTGCTAGACGTCTAAACTACGTTAAAATTTGGTTGAAAAGTGAAAGGTGAAAAGCCGTCTTTTTCAGGTCGTTGAAAAGACGTCTTTTTCGGGTCGTTGAAAAGACGTCTTTTTCTGGTAGTTGTAGTCTATAAAAGGACGTCCCATTCACGTTTAAATTAGGTTGTAAAGTGAAAGTTGAAAAGACGTCTTTTTTTAGGCATAATTTTCATGGATTCATGATTATATTTAATATTCCTAATTACTGTCAAAATAAGACAATTCACAAAAGTTTATCAAAACATTTATTGACACATAAAATACATCTTTCAAGTAAAAACTTCCCTGATCACACATCAAGCCCACATTTGATCAAATATAGCCTAAACACTGCAATATTGTGAAATATTACCACAATAAAAATAACTTCTCTATAAATTTATAAATAAATATACATATAAATATATAATAAAGTGTCATTTATTCCTGTGATGGCCAAGCTGAATTTTCAGCATCATTACTTCAGTCTTCAGTGCCACAAGATCATTCAGAAATCATTCTAATATGGTGATTTGATTCTCAAGAAACATTTATGATTATTATCAGTAGTACTGCTTCATGTTTTTTTTTTTGGAAAATGATTCAGCTTTCAGTATTCTTTGAAAATAACTTTCAAACGAGCAGCATTTATTTGAAACAATTTTTCAAAAACAATTTAAAAGACTTTAACTGTGACTTGATCAAATGAATCCATCTTTTCTGTATAAACATCATTTTATCATTTATTGATAAACATCAAAACAATAAATCTTTAAAACATTGAAAATGTTTATAAAACAGACTAATTATAACCACATTAGAAAACATTAAAGGTATAGTTTACACAAAAATGTAATTGTCATTAATTACTTACTCTCATGTCGCTCCAAACCCATAAGACTTTTGAATATATTTTTAACAGATGCCTTGTGTGTGCAAAAAACAAAACAAAATTATGTATCGCCGATACAGGTTGCACCATGAGATGACTGACTCTCATGCCAACACAACACTGATGAATCGTGGTGCTCTGTGAACACGTGTTCAGCATTCACATCGCTTCATAATGTTGAGGTTAAACCATTGGAGAGAAAGTTATCATGAGCATTGTAATGTTTGAAACGGATGTCATAACAAATGTCAGTAGAACGGGATGATTTTAAAACAAGTGGTTCATTAATTAATCCGTACGATTTTAATAGAGTGTTTTCACTACACGTCATCAATCCGTAAGTCGGTCATTTTGGAGGCACTGAACGTAAACAATGCCACTGAACTGAACAGACTTGCATATTTGGCTGATTATTGCTGCTGAAAAATGGTCGTGTTTTGGTCTGTACTAATAGGTCACACCGGGAAAAAAAACATTTCAAGTTCTATAGACTGCCTAAAGTTAAAGAGAAGAGTGCAAAAAATGGATGAAAGAAAGTGTTTGTGATGAAGGTGTTTGTAGTTGAGAGGCAAAGCATCAGCCACATGTGTAAATGAAGCGTTGACTATGGCTAAAATGTTAAAGTAAAGTAGTTAACTATGGCTACATTCACACGGTCAGTCCAAATCTGATGTATCTTCGTATCCGATTGGGATCTGATCTAAAATGATGTCTACACTATGTATCGCAACTGTTCAGATCCGAGTCGACATCATAAAGACATCATAAATTAGTGTAACAATGTGTTCAGTAGTACATAAACAGTGCAATCAATGCTGTTGTTTACATCCGAGTATCTCGAATATAGCCGCGCATCCGGGTAACTGGCCAAATCGTGACGTGGGTGCAAACCCTCTATTGATTATTTTTATAATGTCTTACGTTTCTGAAGCTTGAAAGTGGTAGTTGCATAAACTGTGAAATTGAGGGACAGAAACCTCTCAGATTTCATTAAAAATATCTTTCAAAGATGAACGAAAGTCTTACAGGTTTGCAACGACATGAAGGTGAGTGACGAACATTTTTGGTTAAATTCTACACATTAAATCAGTTCCCTCAGAGGCACCAACAGATATCTTCCTGATCTCCGATCTTCTGGTTCTTCTGCTCCTTCCACCATCCCAACCCCGGATTATTAAGCCACGACTTAAGTTTTTACTTGAAATGCTTTAGCCTGGTGAGAAAGAAAACAATAACCAAAATGTACATTTAAAAAAACAAAAAAAACAATGGCTGTCCGAAACGTAAAGTATACACTTGAGTTTTTCCTATACATATACGTGCAAGATTTCAGTCACAGATAAATTGTAAATGTTTGCTTGATCAGACATTACATGTTTATGCTGAAATATAATATTGGTTTTTGTTTTAAAATCATCTAGTTCTAGTAATCAGGGTAGTTCACTTTGAAATTAATTTTTGGTATGTTTTAGCCTACCTCAAGTGCATCCAAGATGTAGGTGTCTTTGTTTCCGCAGTAGTTTCAATTTTTATATTTTTAGGTCATTTTTAGTTGCAGGTCTATGGTCACCACCTAATAGAGCATGCACAGAGAAGTCCAAATTAAACATGATTTAATGACTCGTATATGTACACATTGATGGCCTAAGACACGAAACGAGCAGATTGTGAGAAAACGAACAGTATTTATATCATTTTTACCTCTTGTAACCACAGCCACGTCCAAGTGATGTGAAGGCGCAGGCTCTTCGGTCTGCGCAAGCGCCGGAAAGCGCCGAAAGTGATCTCTAATTGTTTACACAGAGATTTCGGAAGTGTTACCTTTCACTGTGAAGATCTATTTAGATATAGAGGAAATCGCAATGGAAGACGATTTCGATATATCAACAGACAACGTTGAATAAGTACCATTTTAATTAGCCGTCTTACCTACAATCTCTGTTCTGTGTAAACAATGAGTGACGTACACGTGCGAGAGAGATCACTTCCGGCACTTTCCCGACACTTTCGCAGACCGAAGAGCCCACGCCCTCAGATCACTTGGACGTGGCTGTGGTTACAGATAAAAACGATATAAATACTGTTCATTTTCTCACACAAACCGCTCGTTTCGTGTCTTTAAGCCATCAATGTGTACTTAATTTACGAGTCATTAAATCATGTTTAATTTGGACTTCTCTGTGCATGCTCTTTGAGGTGGTGACCAGAGACCTGCATTATATGCCTGACCGACAAGAACGGTTTGACCTAAAAAAATCGAAATTGAAAATACTGTGGAAACAAAGACACCTAGGCTACATCTTGGATGCCCTCGAGATAAGCTAAAACATACCAAAAATGTATTTAAAAAATGAACAATCCCTTTAACCACTGACTACTGAGCTAGGGACCTGAGTGATAAGCACCCAGAGTTTAACACCTTGATTAGCTTGTTCAGGTGTGCTGGACTAGGTTAGAGGAAAACTTTGTTCTGAACATGACACATCAGAGATGCAGGATGACTGCTAGATTGATGACTTACAACAGTGGCATCCAGACCAGACCAGGGCCAGTGTTCTGCAGAGTTTCTGGTGATGTTTAGTCAGCTGCTCAGGTCTGATTAATTGGGGTTGGAGCTAACAATACTGAAAAGAGAAAGAAGACAACTGATATTATTAAGTTACATTATAAATAATTGGGGTTGGAGCTAACAATACTGAAAAGAGAAAGACACCAATATTATTACGTTATAAATAATTTGTTCTGTGTGTTCATTACCTGTACAAAGAATACGTCATCAATAAACTGTATTAATAACACTGTTTTGACGATTAGCTAGCTTAATTCCATTCATCCATTGACCAATTGCCAACAAAACCTTTACAAAACTATCAAAATAAATATCTAATCTACACATACAGTAAGATACGATTAAAAGCCCAAACTTACTGCTCAAGTCTAACGTTATAGTTAACCTAACTTACCTATAGTTAGCCTAACAGTTGAGATGCTAACGGACTTTTTCTAAGACACTAACCAAGCAAATATTCAACGGAAGTGAGTCTTTTACATAAAAGAAATTGTCGGAAACATTTTTATGTACTATTTGTGTAATTTTAGGGACTAAACTTACCTGAAAGTAGTGAAAACAACAGCGAGAGGTGGAGCTGTGCTGATCGTTGTCAGTTGAGCTACCGCCCGGTTTCCATGGTAACGTTGTCTGCTCCAGTTCAAATGCGGCTCGAATGTTCAGCGCGTGCGCCCATTGATTAAAACACGCAGAGTTACGCAGCATTGAGATGGAGTGAATTATTTGACAATCAGCTGAAACTTGATGCATTATTAAGTGGATAGTAGGCCTGTGGCCATCGTCAAACTATAAAACAATGTTTTAAGTCATGTAGGCTAATAGTCTAATAATATAATATAGCTTTAAAAAATGGTAAACGTGCTGTAGATTGTTTTTTTTTTTTTTTTTTTTTTTTGCAAAAACATTGATTAAAACCTACATAAGGCATGCACATATTTCCTCATATAGCCTACACAGATTACAGATGAAACATGAGGAACAATTATAAACTATTCTATGTATTTTTTAAATACATTCAAGTCCGCAGGCCAAGCGTTCTGGTTTGGAGGAAAATGCTTAATGTGTAGGCTAATTAAACGCGTTGCATTCATATTCTGGGCTCATCTGATTTTTTGTACACAGCCTTTATTATGATTTTAGGCCTATCATAACGATTAATAAATGCACGCACAATTATCCGTGAACTTGATAAATGTTGCAGATATGTTTTACTATGCACAAAAAATACCTTTCAACTTACCACAACTCAGCATGTCTCAAAGACATGAGACATATCTATAGAGAGCTGGAAATATCTTTAAACAAAACAATTCAAAACGAAAAGAAATAGGTACTCTCTGATTATGTAATCATTTTGTGCATTTCTCTCTCAAGGCGCGTTCGCTGCGGAGATGGAGATCTTCAACTTCATCTTTTGCAGCGGACACAGAAAACAGTTTATTAATAAAAATAAAATGCAATAAAAATCAATGCACGCGTGTCACCGGATTTACAAATGCACATCTTGCTTGTTGCACGCACACATATTATGTCGAAATAACAAGATATTGTGTGGAAATTACATTATTATTAATAGGCTACATAAGAATATTTGATTGAATGTTGAATGTTGTGCTTATTTTAATTTAAATTAAAACCTGAATTGTGATAATTACAATAATTGAATATGATATATTGAGTGGCTAAGTTTTGCTCATTTATTAAAAGTAGCCTTTTTATATAATTGTGAAGCTCCCCTGTCAATGATAGCACCCCTTCAGCACCTGTTAAAAATGATCTGGCGCTGCCCTCAGACGGACCAAACAAAGGAGGCGACATTTTTCAAAGTCTTTTGGGCTAAATTTGGACCAAACCAAACGGACCAAATAGAGACCAGTTTTCAACGTCTATTTTCGGGCTAAATTTTGACCAAATCAGACGGACCAAACAAAGACCAATTTTCAACGTCTATGTTTGGGCTAAATTTGGACCAAATCGGACGGACCAAACAAAGCCCAATTTTCAACGTCTATTTTTGGGCTAAATGAAGGCTATGACGGGCCGACTTGATTTAGCCCAAAAAACAACGTCTTAATGACGTCTGGTGCTGGGTGGGTTTTTTTTTGTCCGATTTTTTTGTCTGTTACGATAGTCACTGTCCCAGATAACAAACTGACATTGAATCAACGTGGAAACATGACATCGAAACAACATTGATCTGACATTGTTTTGCTCATCGAATTAACGTTGAAACGTCAGACGCGTCATTCTTCAAAACTAACGGAAAATCAACTTGAAATCAACGTTGTTTCAACGTTAGGAACGCAAACCAATTACCAATTTTCATTTAGCTTTGAAGAATGCCACGTCTGACGTTGGTTCATCGTTAATTCAATGAGCAAAACAATGCCAGATCAACGTTGTTTCGATGTCATGAGAGACGTCATTTCCACGTTGATTCAATGTCAGTTTGCTGTCTGGGGTGTCAGATTACACGATTTTGACTCCTAAAATCTTGACACATGTCAGACTACACATTGCTTCCGGACCAGTCATCGCATGCCGTCTTTAATGGCGATGTCATCGAGAAGGCGAAACTAGTAGCGAGTGACTTCTGGAAACGAATGTAAATGGATGAAGCGGTGAGTGTTGTATTGGCTGTCCTGTGTTCAGAAAAAAAAAAAAAAAGAAAGAAAGAAAACATGACAATGGACACATTCCTGGATTGCTCGAAGAGGACAGTATGGGCTGTCAATCTCCAAAGAGAACTTGAGAATATTGTTTTCTTATATATTTTTACTTTTAGTTTTAAGTTAGCACCATCGTCTCACTTTTGTTTCGCCATTTTTTTGTACAGAAAAGCTTCTGTGCTCCTATTGGTCAGCCTCATACACGTGAGAACTGTCGTGGACGACCGTTAAAAAAAAATTAACCTCCTGGGGACCAATAAACGCGTCCCAGCGTTTTGATGGTTTTTTTTCTTTCACATAGCTGAACATAGACTTAAAATACTCAGTCATTAATAGTCATATAAAATCAATAGCCTACATGATTATAAACGGGGTCTTCTTTTTTGCGTACACTCTTAGTAATATCAAAACCTTGTATTTTTGTAAAATAAATAAATTAAACAGGGTGCGCTTTCAGCTCACTCTGTCTCTGCAAAAATCTTTCTGAAACGCATCCGAAAAATCAGCTGCAGCCTAACTCATTAAATTTATATGTCACAGAAACACGAAAGATCTCTCTTTATGAAGCTGAGATTCTCTTCTTTTAAATGAAGTCATTTATATAAAAAAGCAACTTTTCTCAGTTGATGTAATCTGTATGAAAAGAGAGAGATGTCAGTCTTGACTCTTTTCCCTTTTACCTCATTAGCCAGCGAATGACGTGTTAATGTGACCCCGCCCACTAAGAGCGCGTGCTATTCAAACTCTAATGTTGAAGCAAGCCATGAAAAAGCCCACATCGATAAAAACACAGTTTATTATGGATCTAACGTCGTCCTAACGTTTCGTCTTGCTGCGCAGTGAGGAGATCCTGGAAAAAAGTTACCAGTTTCATTTTGAGGAGCACGGATTCAGCTGATGCAGTAAGTCATTTATAAGTGCTTTGTTCTAATCGCGTTTTTGAATAGTGTCTGTAAAGTGCACAACTGTTTAAATATCAAATGCCCATCTGATAGGAATAGACGAATTCACACGGGCGCGCCGTGCGTTGATTCACTTTTGCTCTGAAATGCTTACATTAGTAAGATACTACATTAGTTATCTGTATAACCAAAAAATAGTGTTTAAATATAATTCGGGTGTGTGAACAAACGTATGAATGAATTCATTTAGTTAGACTGTTAGAGTTAGCTTTTCTGCTCATATTATTTTCTTTTCAAGATCTCTAACTTTGAATCAATTCTAAATGGCACCTATTCGATCAGGATTTTCCAGGTATGACTAAAAATGTTTTTTGACTTTCATTTATACTTTGATTTTATGCATATACATACAACTCTTCATATATATATATATGAAGAGTTCAGATGCAAAAGCCTCTAAATGCCATTTGAAATTTTCTTCTTTAATGATGATTTTTATCAAACTTGTATATTTAAGTTCAGTAATTTCACTTAATTGTTATTTAAGTGAAATTACTGAACTTAAATATACAAGCTTGATAAAAATTATCATTCTAGAAGAATTTCAAATGGTACTTACAGGCTTTTGCATCTGAACGTCTCATATATACGTATATATATATACATATACATATATATATATATATACAAGCCCGTTGTCATATATACGTATATATATATATATATATATATATATATATATATATATATATATATATATATATATATATATATATATATATGTATGTATGTGTGTGTGTGTGTGTGTGTGTATGTTGTCCTTTCAATTTTTTCTTGTCTGACTCACCTGAATGAAAGGCTCATTATTATGCATGTCTTTGTCTCTCAGGTGAGAATTACCTAAATTTTCATGATGGGGCTGGCCTGTTCACTCCTATTCGCATATTGCCTTGGCAAACAAAAAAATGTTTTTCACAATATAACCCAATTCACAGTTCTATGTGAACGATTAGGAGGATGATTTTCAGATCATTGTGAAAAAAAAAAAACAATAGGCAACAACATCAATTAGTCAAAACTCAAAAGTCTTGTAGACGCATATTTAGTATATTAATATAAACAATATTCTCTAAAAAATACAAACATGTACAAACATGTTGCCAATTTATCATGGTTGTACTGTGTCTGCTAAATATAGTGTAATTTCACCTGTGCTATTAATATGTTTATAAGCAGCTGAAAAAAACACAGATGTCAGGGCATGTCAGAACATCTCAAAGAGCCCAAATAGCCCTTGGTCCTCAGAGGCTTAAACATGGTAGTCTTTTTGTCGTGATGTCGTGAAGAATCGCAGACACGGCGTAGGTTGTCACCCACTATGACACACTATACGAGATGATACGATCAAATCTTGCGTCCCGAAGCCCGTTGTCATTTACGAATCATTTACTTATTTTCAGAAAATATTATTGATCTTATTGTACTTCATAATACCTTTGTCTTCAGTAGATCTGCTTTACATCTGTAATTGAAGTTGTTTCATAATTGTTGAATTGTGCAACATTAATACTGTTATACTCCTGTCTACTACTTTGAAACAATCATTATTTTTTAAAGTATTATATAAGTCTTGCTTCGACTATTCCTTGAAATGAAAGTTAATACAGCTGAAATTAGTAAGTAAATAATGCTATGGACCGTTATCGCGAGTTAGTGTGTGGGTGTTGTTGTTGAAGAATTAATCTGAAGCAATTGCAGGTAATATTTTGTTTTGTAAAATTACTTTTATGATATTTTGTATGATTTTTGAATATTTTAATTATTTCAATGTTTAATTTAATTCTTTAATTTTCATTATATATGCGAGAATCCAAGACAAAAAAAGTCCTACTAAACTGGTGTTTAAAGTATATGCGGTATACAAGTGATGGGTACTTGTGTTTTGTGTCTAAAGTAATAAGCCCCTTGAAGCTGTGATATACTGTGAATTTAGTAGTATTTAGACGTGGAGGGCAGTGTCTGAAACCCCTTAGCTGTTCTAAATTCACTGTAAATCACAGCTTCAGGTGGCTTATTGCTTTTATAAAATGGTTACTGCCTAAAATATACATTTTTATTTTATTCATAAAAACTCCAGCAACAAAAAATACAACGTTGTAACACATTTATTCTAGTTCCAAAGAGGTTGCCAGGCAACACATGCGGCAACAAAGAATCACAAACGGCAGTTTCACAGTAATACTGATGTAATGCGGTCACAGGTGTATGTTTTTTTGAGTAATTTACAATGGCTTTGAACGCAGCTCAACCAATCAGAATCAAGGACCGGAACTACCCGTTTTATATTAAACATTTTGCACCTTGTACTTTTTTTTACTAAAAAAAAACCTAAATTAAACTGCTCGAAACAATCGTAAATGAATCTTTGGTTTAATTGCACAATCTTTGCAGCTGGGTGGTCATGTGTTTAATTTGTCCTCCAGCTCTGCCCTTGAGCAGTATCATTGAAAAAGTCTTGAGCATCATGAAGGGGTTTGTTGACTGTCTTCAGTTCTTAACGCATCCAGAACAGACACCAAACTAACAAGTGCGATTTATCACAAAGTGGCGGAAAAAATTGTTTCCCGACTAAAATGATCCACACGACCACTCCCATTCTTTGACATCATTCATTTTTCCAAATGAAGTATTGAGAAAGGCCAGTTAGAGCGTTACCACAAGAACTAGAGTTGAAGTGTGCGGGGATACTGATGTCATGTCCTGTCTGGATTAATTATGTTAGCTGTATCATGAGTATCCGTAAACATCCATCATTCGTGATGATAAATGGAGTGAAGGAGTAATCAAAACATGCTATGATGATTTAACAGTCCTGTTTTAAGCATCGGATGGTTTAAATATGTTCTCACAGAAAAACCCTAATGGCATTACATGCATCCAATGGTAAATTTCAGCGTGGAAAGAAGCGGCATGTCACGGCGGATCAAGCCTCCCTCGGAAGCGGTCAGAGTCGAGCAGGTTCCTGCTATCAGAACAGACCTTTTAAAGCCCTGCCTTAGGGCCCTGAGACGATTCGGCTGAGCAGAGGAGACACGTGGACCAGATCCAAGAGAATCAGCACAGAGTGTGCGCCGCTGCAGTCTGACACATTATGTGAGCTGAATTCTAAAGCACCGCCTTTAACGGCTGACAGACTTCAGGGCATCTGCTGCAGAAGCTCTTCCTCTGGAACATCTCCATGGTGGGAAATCTCTGACTGACACACTGTTGATTTATGCTTTCCTCAGCTCTACTCCCGAGAATGACAGGCTTTACATTAGCGAGACTCATGAGCCATGTGACCCTCCACTCTCAAAAAAGTCTTTGTAATGTGATTTGGGAGCACACATCAGCCCGAGTTAACCCACATATCCTTCAGTCGGATGAGGACATTTCCATGGCCTCATGCCTCTGTACTTAGGTTCCCTAAGTACCGTTTCATACACCCAGAGCAGAGTCTTTCCACTTTATTTGTGTG